AGAGAGTATTACATATCGAACATGTCAGTGTTTCTCACTTAATTGGATTAATTTAGTTAAGAACACCGTCTTTGTCAACAAAAAGCCCTTCGCTAAGAACATCATGTCATGATTGCAACATTCATTATGCTATCTATCGTGATGGTGATGTGGTGGCGCCGGTGTTGTTGTTGTTGAAATTCTGTAGCTAGAACGTCTGATTCTGTATGTGAAAATTATATATACAACTATAAATTAATTTTTCATATTGGCAGCGTGTTGAGTCGTCAGATCTTTTCCTCTTCCGCCGCCAATAATCTATAATACTTTTCAGAAATAATAATAAATATATGCCAGTAGTCTCAGTCACAGTATAACGCAGCTTTGATCGCCTTGATTGCTTCGATTTCTAAGCGTGCAATTTTTGAGATGATCATTCATAAATCTTCGCTTAGTTTCCATATGACATCCTTTGCTTGGACATGAAATAATGGCGTCTAGACACTATAAATTCAATCCAATTCGATTCTAAAATTAACCCATTAAAGTACATCGATATCGATTCAATATAGTAAACATATTATATTGTATGTAAATAAATAATTTACCATAGTCTCATGCCTCCCTTGATCCATACATGATCCAACCCAATCACACCCTTGATTCGCACAACGCACATTCAAATTCCCGACCAAACGTTTGACAAACTTTGAAACTCGTAAATTCGACGTGTTTACACGTTCCCGGCAAGTTGGACATGAGATTGTGCCGTTACTGGATGTTAATCGACTGTACGAGCTTCTAATAAGTTCGTAAATGCAACTTTTGCAAAATACGTGTTCTTTATGTATTTTCAAGAGAATTTAGAATTAATATGCAAGGTCAGAAAATATATGTCTAAATAATTTTTTACCTTGAACGCACTCGACAAAGGTGGGCTCTTGAAGAACGTCTAGTAATTATGCAAATTTAGCCAAAAATATGAAAATTGATTTTTTCTTGTAAAGACGCTATATAAATCTCTAAATTTTTTTAAACGTTTACCAAGACAAATTGCACACAAATAACCATCAGGAACAGGATCAATAAACATTTCCTTAGACAGTCCCATAACGAAAATTTATTAAACGTAAATTTATTAAACGTATATAATTTTATGATAATGGGTTTCTCAAAAACCTTTGTGTTATATTAGGCAGAAAGTGAAAAAGCCGTGGGAACAAATATAATTGTTATGAAATGAAAGAAAATATTCCATTTGTTTGGCATATATGTAGAATATTAAATAGTTAGCCAAATGATTGATTTTGTTTTCCCCAGTTATGTAATTTCTCTTCGAAAATATTAATATCACTTGACTCATTTATGCAAGTGTGGGGAGAGAATTTTTGGGGGTATTAGATTGATTTATTTCATTTATTTTTTTTATATCAAAAGGGAATACTTGAATTATGATGACATCAGAGAGGCTTTTCTTTCTAATCCTTCTAAAACTCATTTATTGATTTAAATTGGAAAATCATATTATAAAATGAACCGACATATATATACCTAATCATTCAGGAAGACCAACCCTGCCGTTTCTTGACCCCCAACTCAACAGCACACCTTGCCCAATCAATACCATGATTATGTTTTGCCGGGCTCTCACCCAATCCAGCCCGTTCCAACGCTTGCTCATCATTTAAACAAGTAAGGACACCAAACACACAAGGCGTACCAGTTTCCATTCCGACACGCATTATTCCATGAGCAGTCGCTTCAGCAATATATTCAAAATGCATTGTGGAGCCTTTAATTAATACCCCAATGCATATAACAGCATCAAATTTGGGTATGCTGTGTTTTATATATTCCTGCGCGGCAAATGGAAGTTCATATGACCCAGCGACATCTTTGAGGATAATTTTTTCTGCTTTCACGTTGAATTCTGATATGAGTGTTCTTTGAGCTCCGTCTACTAGCGCTTTGACGACTGGAAGGTTCCAGCGTGTATGAAGTATTAGTATTCGGAGATTTGAGCCGTCGTATTGCGTTTCTGAAGGTGTGACTCCTTTGGCAAACATTTTTTTACCCGTTAATTTTAATTAGTGCTTTGTAGATTTTAACAAAGTTCACCATTTTGTGAAACGTGTAAGGTTATTGGACGCTTGATTCCAGATAACATAAACTATATCGATATTATCACAACAAAATCGATTACAATAACGATAATAAAAAATACCAATAAATTATAGAAGTATGTCGCCGAATAATTTTACAAAATGATATTAGCTTTGATCTGCACAATCATGGTCAAGGCTCTTTATAACGATAACGGAAAACGAAGAGAAATATCGAACTCTAATGTTAAAACGGGATGCCTTTTTCTTATATTCAAGGCTCGAGTAGATATAATAAACAATTGATATAAAATATAGAAAAAGGGGAATCTATAATTTTTAATTTTATTAAAATTACTAATTTTATTTATAAGTAGCGTATATAAATTAAAACAAAAAAATTACTTTCAAGACTTCGAATGGTTTCAAGATAAATCGCTCGAGAATAATGATATTATTGTAGAAGAAATAACATCGACGTCACCATCACCTTGTATTGATCTTTTAAAAAATAAAATATATTATCATATATTCACATGCTGACCATACCTTCGGAGAATAAATCCCCGCTCATTATTTCCATGGCCTCGAACGCTTTCAAATTCTCCTACTAGATGAATATATAATAAGGGAGCTGACATTCTATTATAGGGGTGATAGTACAAAATTAATCTCATCCCCGGGTGCTCAAAAATTTGTAATATTTAAAAATTTTAAGATAAAAAATAAAATCCATCTCCTTTTGATGTTACGATAATCCCAATTGTATTGATTGATATTTACCTTCTCATTTATGATCTGTATCTATACAAAATCTTTCTTCACAATTTTTACATTGAACTACAATTAGGATTCCAGCCTTTTGTATCTTGTCCAAAACAATATTATTAAAAAAATAAAAGTACTTATGTAATTGTTATCAAGAATAAAATAAAAACGTTCTTATAATATTAACACGTTATACTCCCAATTATTTTATTTCATGTATTCTATTCATTATGAATATGTATGACCAGCGGGAGTTTTCCTAAACAAGAGTGGAACATTAATGTAACCAAATTATTTAATTATATTGCCACAAAGTGTCTTCAATACTCTTGATTTTACATCTAAGTAGCATGGATTTTATATTCAAGATTAAAATAGAATTAAATATATTCTCAACTTATAAATATCTTTTGTAGCAGTTGTTATATTAAACGATTAATTTTTAAAATTCTTAGTAAATTTACTTTTTAAAAGTATATTCAAAATGTTTGTATATATATTAACTGGTTAAGTGGTATAATGATAATCTATATAGATTATAATTATACCACTTAGTTCGGACTATAACCATCCCATTGACGATTGGATCACGTATGTGTCGTCATTTGAGTGACGACTGGATCATGTGTGCGTCGTCATTCGAGTGATGATTGGTTCGTCACACTTAGGTACTCGCGATCTATAAAAAAATATGACGACGAATTTGTGTTCACGTCGTCACATTTGGATACCCACGACCTATAAAAAATATGACGACAGTTTTATGTTCACGTCGTCACATTTCTAGTGCTATCAAGTTCGTTATATACACACTATATATACGTTATCTGGACATGTTATATATATGCTATCTGGTTATGCTATCAATTAATATATACGCTTATATCATGTAAATGCTATCGAGTACGTTATATTAAAGTATGCTGATTTTGATTGCTGAATTGTTATCCCTATTTGATAACCCACCAAAGCATCTGATGATGAGGCATGTAGTGTCAAATTGTTAACAATTGTTAGTTTCACATAATTTATTCAAATATTACCCGAGAATGAGACACATAGTGCCAAATTGCTAATTATTATAATGCACTCAAGTATCAATCAAGAATGAGACACATAGTGCTGAATTGTTAACATATCTGGTAATACACTAAAGTATCCAATAATAAGACACGTAGTGCCAAATTGTTAATAATTGTTAGCTTCACATAATTCATTCAAATATCATCTGAGAATAAGGTACATAGTGTCAAATTGCTAATTATTATAATATACTCAAATATCAATCAAGAATGAGATATGTAATGTCAAATTGTTAGCAGTTATTAGCTTCACATAATTTATTTGAATATTATTCAAGAATAAGATATGTAGTATCAAATTGTTATTCTTACTTGGTGATCTATCAAAGCATAATTTTATAATACATATCTTTTATCTATAATAATTATACCTTGATATCTTACTTTTTTTACTCAAAATAATACTTATTTGATAACTCATCAAAATATAATTTATATATCTTTTATCTGTAATAATTATTCCTTGATGGCTCACTTTTTTGCTTGAAATATTACTCATACCAAAAAATCTTTGATATCTCATCAAAGCATAATTTTATATATTATATACACACTCTATTTCAGAATACTAATATTTCATTCTATTTTATTTGAAATAATATTCATATCAAAAAATCTTTGATAATCTATCAATATATAAAAATGAAATATATCATATTTGATCCATCAAAATGCAATTTCTGTATATAATATAGTTTTACTTTGGTGATTCAAAAAATATATTACATTTGACCCATCAAAGAGCAATAGTATAACTTTTCTATAATAATTTTATTTTGGTGATCCAAGAATTTTTAGTATAAATTATCTCTATTGAAGTATATCATATATGCATTATATTTTACAATACAATTATTTTAACCTATTACTTATCTAAAACTGTATCTTGATTAAAATTACGTAATACAAAAATAGTTATCAAATATCTTGTATATTTTGTAATATAATTATTTATCTTATCTTATATATCAGATTTTTAAGACTGTATAATTTCATAAATTTCTGTAATTTATCTTACCTCTATATTAGAACTTTATTTCAATCAAAATTATATGATATAAAAATCTTTTTATATGATTTAAATATCAAAATATTAATTTTTGATTTGAATTTTTTCTTATACTTATTTATAAGAGATGATAAAAATCTCTTTATCTAAAATGTATGACTAGATAAATATAATAATATACTTCTAACCAGAGTATTTTACTTAACTAGATCATATTATTTTGAAAGATTATGCATATTCAATAAGAGTTATAAATTGATTTTTTAATTTTTTTTTATGTGAAGTAGTAAGAACTTTTATTTTAGTCTTAAAATTTTACTTATATTCCAGAAAAGTGATCTTATCTATATTTTCATGCTCTTTTTTCTTTTTTCTCTCAAGTTCAAAAAAAGTAATACTTCAAGATATAATTAACTAAAACATTCAAGTTAAATTCTAATATTTAATTATCTAGTTCACATACTTTATGGCCAATTATATTTTTTATTATGAAGTAATAGCTTTTCGAGCCTATCTATATCCTATTTACATCTTAATATAATAAATCATATAATAATAATAATTAATAAAGTAAGTAATATATATGCTGATAAAAATATTATTAAAGTACTTGCTATAACAGAAAGAGATAAAGCCTTAAGACTAGATCTTATCACTTCTATTTTTCTTATTAAAATCTAAAAATATGATTTAATCAATAAGAATATATGTACTTTAATACTAGCTCTACTATTATTATCCTATTATGCAAGATATAATATCATATTTTAAGACATAATCTCTGATATATTAGATTTTATTAATATATTATTCTCATTAATTATATTAATACTAATTTGTATCAAGATATCATTATCAATTTTTTTAGCTTGATTCATATTTTTTCTACATACAAAATATTTATTGAGATCACTATTCACAAATATATTACTAGACTTAGCCATATATTTTTTATCATCTTTACTAACTATTACAGAGTAATGATTTAAAGGATCTATAGATTTTGATATAGTCTTTAATTTTAGATACTCAAGCTTATTAATCTTTGATTATAATTCACTCTTTATATTTTCTAATTCAACTATTTTAGACTTGAGAGATAAAATCTTGGATTCTTTTTTTAATGAGTTATTTTGAATCAAAATTATATCTTTCTGAGCTGAAAATAACTTACTTTTCAATATCTTTATCATAAACTTAAGTGATTTGATTTTCTTGAATTTTGTAACATTCTCAGCCTTGGATTTAGTAATAAAAATATTCTTTTGTACATTATGAAAAATAAAATTAGTATTTTTATTTTGTAGTTACTTATGCTTATTAATAACTTGCAAAGCATGAGTGTGTAACTTTTGAATCTCAGTATTATTTTGTAATAAATTCTAATTTCATCTCTTTCTTTCTCAATTAAAAGTCTTCATTAGCTTTATGTATTTGCTCTGTAATTTTTTGCTAGGCTTATTAATTTCAGCTTTAAATTTGATAATATCATATATTTTTTTTTCTAGCTCTTCTTTATGTATATTACCAAGTTAATGATCTTTAATATTTTGAAATGTATATACATTAGTCATATTAGCTTACTTTTCTAAATAATAAATAATATATAATTATTAATAAAATTAGTTTTATTAATAATTTTTATCATTATCTAATAATATTTAATGTTAGATATCCTAATCTATTAAAAAAATATATTAAATATTATCTATAAAGCAGGATATTTCATATCTGAATTAGATTATATAATAATTATTTTTATAGTACTTTTATTAATCAAAAACTTGCTCACACTAATATTTTTTATTTATCTATAATAATAAATATTATTCTTTATTATTTTATAATAATAGATATCATTTTTTATTATTCTAAAATATTAAATATCATTCTAAATATTTAATAAAAAATCAAATCATGAACATGCCATTTTTAAAATCATATTATCATCAAAAATTTACATATCTAACTTCTGAGCAGATAGAAATAATTAGATCATTCAAAGATAAGATACCTAAATATAGAATTATAAGAGAATTTCATATTAATGAATATTGAATAGATAATATATAAGAAGATCAAGAATATCAGTAACAAATAATATA